GGTTAATGCAGCTTTTCAAAGTGTCCAGGTTATTCCCAGAGGATAATTTATGCATTAAAAGTCTGTTTTATTTGGAAAGTACCTAAAGAGAAAAAAAAAGTGCAGTACAAATCGAACACAGGTAGATTTGGTAGTTTATAACTGAAGTTGTTTTTACTGCTGAGCTTCATTTGTATGGATTGATTTATATCCCTGACTATTTAAAATTTCAAAACTTCCTGTCCTTCACCCCAGAATTTCCTATCATTCCTTTTACTTAATTTTTATCCATAGCACTTACTGTAAGTATGCTCTGTATTTCACTTACAGATTTTTGTTTTCTTCTTACTTTCCCTAAAATGTAAATTCTATGTAAAATTTTTTCTAAGTGCAGTACCTCAGCTTCCCTGGACAGTACCAAGTACATGTAAGCACTTAATAATATAAGAAAAGTGAATACAGAAATAGATAAATATTGATTAAATTTACCAAGTAATTGCCAGATTTCCATTTGACATACTATATTGTAAGGATCATTTTTTAGAAGGCAGTGCCACATAGCAGTTGAAGGTGGTTTCTGGAGTCATTGTGCATCGAATCTTGATTCTCACACTGGTTGTCTGTTTAACCTTGGGCAAATTATTTAACATTTCTGTGCCTGAGTTTTTTCATCCTCAGAATAAGGATAATAATTTGGTTAGAAAATATGTTTAGAAGAATGCTTTAAAAAGCATTCTGGTACATAGTCAGCCCTTAAAACTCACTAATACTATCATTAAATCAATTTGTGAAAAGAATAATATTCTTTATGCACTCATTGCCTAAGTGAAATAGAGTCATGACAATTATGTAGATATTAAAAAATACTTTGCCTCAATCATCTGAATAATTTAGTTCAAAGCATATTTTAAGAATACATTATTAATATAATTTACTTTCTGAAAATTAGTAAGACATTAGTTTTATTTATTTGACAAACTCCAATTAAGTCAAACAGAGGATTATAATTTCCAAAGATCAAGCTTGGTTTTGAATTCTGCTCTGTCATTTACTAGGTCTGTGACCCTGGGCAAGTTAATTAAAAACCTTAGGTTTTGTTTCCACATTTATGACATGGATAATAATTAAGTCTCTGCTAGTAGTTGTATATTAAACACAGCACAGTATCTGGTACATAACAGATCTCAATAAAAGGAAGGTAAAAAAAGATTATTGAATGTATAAAATCCAAAGATCAGTGTTTGTGACAGAACCATATCAATTTATATAAAATTGAGAATTAAAAGTGAAATTATATTTTTCTCACTCCAAGTACAATCTTAAGCAAATAAATTAGAAATTCACATTTTGGAAGAAGTTATTTTAAAAAGAGAATTTAATACGAGAAATATTTACATTTGACAGCAAATCACTTAGCATATAACTTCCTTTACATTGCTAAGTGTAAAACACAGAGCCTCTTAGTACCACTTTGAGAGATGCAAGTGTCTCTTTAAAATCAACTCCTGAATTTCTTAAAATTCAACATTATATGTACAATCATCTCCCCTTTTCCAATCAGTTTAAATTTATGAAGGTACTGAGCTAAGAAACATGTATAAAAACCTATGATATATGTCTTCATGTCTTCAAGGTTATTATTATCTAAGAATATGTTACTAAAATGTTTTGTAATATTGGCTGTGTTCGGCAGTTTTATACACCATTGTTAGCACCAAAGTAGGGGCATTGACTGCTGCACTTAGTTATGCTGGAGAAGAAGGGAATTGCTTCTGCTCAGGTTCTCTAATCAGAGTTTGCTGGAACCACAGTGGAACAACAAGCATTTCACGTCACCCCAGGGTAGACCCCAGACACAGGGTGTCTGACCTGGTGACATGAAACTCAGCTAAGTTTTTTAAGCCAGGTCAAGACTGGGGTACACATGTCTAGAACTGCACCTGCCTAGCAGCTAGGGAGCCTAAGCAAACAGAGCATTATGCTTTAATGAATATAAAGAGTCTCAGTGTAGTCTCCAAATCCCAAGCAATCCCGTTTCAGAAAAGAATTTTAGGAACTGGGACAAGTGACATCTCCAAGCTTGCTACTGTGAGTTGATGGTCAGGTTTTCTATGTGCCGAGGAAATGATGGAGAGAGGACTGAGGATGTTAACAGTTCAACATTACGTTTTATCTTGTGAGTGGAATATAAAGAGCCTCCCAAAGTCTTGAAAGTGCCATGAACACTGCCAACGGTACAGGGATCAGAATGTGGATATTGCTTATACAAGGGACACGGGTGTCATTTAAAATTCTCCTGCTTAATGTACCTTAATATTAAAACACTGACCAGCATGAATAACATTATAAATACAATAATGTGATTCAACTAGTCAGGGCCATTACTAGCCCATGGGACCCCATTGTGTCATGCAGTCTAGCGCCAAAGCAGATGGCTCAGCCAGAGGACCACAGCCCTGTTCCCATCCCTCTCCACTGGATGGAGAGTGTCTTCTGTATGTTGTACTATGCTGTGTTCTTTACATACTTGTAGTTTATAAAGTCTTATAATCATCATCTTGGTTTTCAAATGTCAAATCTGGAGAACGACTGAGGGGGGATTTGAATCCATAAAAGCTGATATCAAAATCAATGTATTTTCTGTTAAAGCAAGCTGCCTTCTACCTCTACTTTCTTCTCGTCAAAAAAAATCCATTAAGGATTTTAATCTCCATGGCAGAGATATAGGTTTTTTTCAGAGCCTAGAGATGCCTCTTTTTGACAAACTACTACTGCTATTAGTAGACTGTTTCAAGTAGCGCATGTTTCTTAACCATTTTTGGTAAACATAGATGTGTCCAGTTTAGTCCATGATAATAATTCTCTCTGTTATCGCAAAGAGGGCCTCATCTTCCTTTTCTAAAAGTAATTTTCTCCCTCATAATGTCCATATTATCAAGCACATCTATTAAGCAAATTGCATTCATTACGTAAGAATTTGTTTATTCCGTTTCATAAGAAGTGATCTATTGAAGGGTACACAGTTTGAAAAGCTAAGGAAAACAACTGATGGTAAATGGCAACCAAAACAACCCCACTGAATTTATTTTATAACAGATGGTATCCAGGTAGGTCTTGCAGCAAACTCTTATCAGAAAGATCTGGAGTTGAATTTTATTTAGTTCCTCTACTTGTTTTCCATGTCACTTTAGCATCCTGAGACTTATTTTTCTTTTCCTTTGTATGGAATAGTAATTCTAATATCATCCACCGTTTATAAGGATATGAATGAGAGACTTAAAGTAAATGATCTGGCCCACGATTCCTCCTTTGTGCACAGTGTCCACTCAGTAAGTGTTATTTTTCTACTGTGAGGGCATATAAAAGCTGTAAAGCGTTTATGAACAGTAAAAACTCATCAAAGAAAATTCCGGACTCTAAATCCCTAGGGGTGGGAGACCTCTCTAGATTGAAAGACAACAGTGTGAATCTAGAGTGTCCAGTGCCTTCTAGGAATTAATAGGACCCCTTCATGAGAAGGAAGTGGGGGGCACAGAATCGCTGTGTGTGTGGTGGGATGTACTATTCAGACACAAGCTGCTGTCTTTCCTAGAAGTCTTCCAAAGACTCCCAAAGAGCAGGGCTGTCTTAGTCTTTCTGAAGTGTCCTGAGGAGCCAGACAGTGAAGGCATAGGTGTGGCCAAGAGAGCCCCGGGTCTGGGCTCTTGTTTATGGAGTGTCCTGGGGATCAAAGCTAACCAGACATGTGTCTTTTCTTCAGAAGTCGCTGGGTTTGTGCCTGAGTCGTATGTTATAATGCTGAAGGAAGGAAACTCCTGTTGAATTGATATTTTTTCTGTCTATTTTTGGGAGTAAACTCATGCTTTCCTTTCCCACATCCTCACCAAAGTAACTTTGTTCACCATAAACTTGCTGTGCTCAAATGATGATTCAAAAGCAAGATGTATTTCCTTCCTTTTGCCAAAGATTTGATTAATCATCTAAGGGTAGATCTTTAAGAACAGCTAAAACACCATTTTTCCCCCAGACCCAAAGCTTTAAAAATGCACTAAATTATTTGAGTAAGCCATTTACAATTTTTTTATTTTCCTTTTGTTTTTTATGCACAGATGAAAACCACCAACCTCAAAGATTTTTTTTCCAGTGCATAAGCTGTGCTCTGAGAATAAGTTGGGCATTTCCAGAAGATATTTGAACCTTATTAGGCCAATAAAAGTCCATCCAGGAAAAAAATTTAAACATCAGACTGACTGGTGTTTAAGTATCAAAGTCAATTTATATTTATTTGTTCAACACACATTGACAACTTAAGAAAATCACCTTCCATTACTTTCTTCTAAGAATTCAAGGTTTCCTTATGTCTGTTAATCAGTTATTGGTATCCACCAACGAGCAGTCATTGGAGGGACCATGATGTCATGTCACACATCGTATTTTTCTGTTTTCCCTTTTGCTTTATTCCTGTGTTTCCTGAGAAAATGATGCACAAACCATTGATTTTGAGAAGTAGCAATATTCTAGAATTCCTTTGCTGAGGGGAAAATTTCCCTCATGTTGTTTGGTCAAGAATATTGAGAATTCTCTGAAAATAAACTATTGAATGCTAAATCCCTCTAAATATGGACTTGAAAGTGTAGCATTGCCTCCAAATTGGTCAGTCTGCCCAGCTATGCTGTTTGAATCTGCCAAATACTTGGTTTGAGTTCTTCCTATTTATAAAAAAGAATCTTTCTTTTGCAAATGTTATGGTTCATATATTAATTCTTCTACTACAGAAGCCTAGCTTTGTCACCCTTGGCAAACGAGTCAAAGAATAAAAAATAATTTTGAAATATTGTAACCAAAATCTCTGCTACATTGTTAATAAGTATTTCTTAATAATCCTTAGGCCTTTAATGAGCTTTGCCTGCATGAATGTAGAGTGCCTGCCTATGCAACAGTGAGTTGAGATCAACTTCAGTCTTCCCAGCAAATAGGAGTGAAGGCTGGTGATGTCCACATGAAAAGTAACTCTTTTCCAGGTTTTGCAATGGAACAAATATGGTTGCTGTTGCTTCTAACAAGTAGAGTGCTTCCAGGGTCTGCTCAGTTCAATGGCTACAACTGTGACGCCAGCCTCCACAGTAGATTTCCTGGTAAGTCTGAACCCAGTCTTTTCTCTAATTGTATCTGGAAAGCGTGATTATGTTTGAATAGTAAATCATTTAAATACATATGGAAAATGAGGGAGATATCCATCTATATTAAGTGGATATTAACAAATGGCAAATGACAAAAGACATTTTTCTGAAGTTGTAATTTATAACCACATTAACATACAAAGTGTTCATTGTAGTTTATATTATTATAATGGCTGCTCACAGATGTGAAAAATATTGGCTAATGGTTGATAAAATCAGGAGAGGCTAATTTCATTCAAAATTTGCCTAATTGATGCCTTTTTTCCTCATAAGTTAATTCTTTCAAAACTGTCTTTATATGCTAGTAGATTTATATATAAATGATACTCAAGAAAGTATGAAATATTATGCAATATTCAAAAAATACTATTTCAGTGGAATGTTGGTCACCACCAAAGTATGCTTTCACATACTTCACAGCTTCAAAATGCGTTTTACAGCCACCCATGAGGATTGTGACAGGTATGAGATTTTGACCATACTGATAGATGTGTCCCACAGTTTCCCAAAATCTACACTGTTTACAGGTAATTTAAGATTCCATTTAAGTATTCATCTTTTTGCATCCGCTAAAGTTACAGAACCACAGTTCAATATTTACAAAACAAAGACTAGACAATCTGAAACTGCTTTTCTATGTATGCCATGCAAACTGAAATAGCTTCTGCCATGTTTTACATTCTGTGCCAGTAGTCCTGTGTCTGGAGCATGCCAGGGCAGCAGCACACCTGCACAGAGCAATCAGTAGGTGGTTATGTAGCTGATGTGAGATTTCTAATTTATTTGAAGAGAGGTAAACTGTCTTCTCCAGAATAAAGACAAGAGTATGCAGGAATGTTTTCATGTGCCCAGACCTAGCAAGCAAGTACTTGGCAGGTTAGGTAAAATAAGGAGATCAGGATGGGAAATGACTCAAGGTAAGTCCAGAAAGGTATGTTAAGGTAGGGTTCTTAATGATTTTGAATATCACAAGTGATAGGGCTTTAAAAAATATTTTTATTATGGAAAATTTCAAATATATGGAAAAGCAAAGATTAGTAAAAAAGCACTCATACTAATCATCCAGCTTTATCCATTGTCAACATTTATGAATTTTGTTTCACTTTTCTCTCCTTCTTACTACCCCATCTGTGAAATATTTTAAAATAAACTCATTTTTCATGTTTCATTATATATATCTAATTAAAAAGAACTTTAAAAATCATTACACTTGTATGTCTAATAAACTTAATAATTCCTTAATATCATCTAATACTCATCCAAGTTGTCTCCAAAACATTCACATGGTGCATTTATTGTTCTCTGTCCTAAGTCTGTTTTAATCTATAACAGTCTCTTGCTTTTCTAGAATGCCGTTTATCTCTTTAAATAATCTGGTCATTTATTTTGTAGAATTCCAACACTCTAAATCTAGTTGGCTATAACTCTGATGTGTCAATTAACATTCTCCTCTTTTCCTGTAACCTGTAAACTAGTTATACCTAGATGTTTCCATAACTTCAGGTTCAGTTGTTTCTGTGTTATTGGTGTAATGAAAGTGTTTTTCTTTGTAGGCAATGAAAAGCCATTGTGTCTTTTTAAACCTACCTTTCTAAGGGTTTGGTGTGGTCACATTTTGTTTTAGAAAGCAGACTTTGGGGAAAGTATGAAAGCCAGAATGAAGTTAGAAGCAGAGAGAGAGATCGTGAAGGCAGTGGCGGTGGAAGCAGCAGCAGGAGACCGCTGTTCACAGATACAGTGTATTGTGGTTAGACTCACTGGGTCTGGAACTTGAGGACTGATTCCATTTGGGAGGTGAGAGAAAGAGAAGACCAGAGGACATTTTGGACTTGGATACCTGAATGTTGATACTGTCAACTGAGCCACAAGTACAAGGCATTTGCATGTTTTAAAAAGAAAGATTGTGTTTGAAAATAATGACTTTGAAGTGCTTTTAGAATGTGAAGTGTCAGCCTCTATCCGGAGGTAGGAAATATGGACCTGGGTCTGAGGAGGGAGGCGGAGACCGAAATAGCTGTGTGAGAGTTGAATCCC